CCTTAGGGAACCAGGAGAGGTCCCTCCCCACAGCAGGGTCTGGCAGGCTGAGTGTGCCAAGGTCACAGGATCAGCACAGCCTCAGTCTCAGCTGAACAGGTCCAAGGTTTTGAAGCACTTCACATGAAATCCAACTCCAGAAGGGAAGGGAAAGGCAGAACAGGGCAGAGAACACAGCTCAGGGCTGTGCCTCATGAAGAACCTTGGTCAAGGCTAAGAGAAGGCAAGGGAGGAGGAAGCAAAGGTGTTCAGCAGAGAGGAATGCAGCATGGATTTGAGGAGAGGGGGTGGATCAAAGCCAGCTTGGCTGGATTACCCTCATCAGGCCTGGTACACCCCCACCCCAACACATGTTCTGGCACTGTGGCTGAGGGGGAGCCTCACCTTGTAGTCCATCTGCTCAGAGCAGTTGAACACATACACCATGATGCCCAGGGCACGTCCCAGATCCTTCGTGGTCTCTGTCTTGCCAGTGCCTGCAGGGCCTGCAGGTGCTCCACTCATGGTCAGGTGCAGGGACTGGGTCAGGGTGATGTAACACCTTTCACAGCAAGGGATGAAGGAAAAGAAAACTAAGCCTAGGTCTCACAGGTCACTGTTGGGCTGCAGGGACAGGAGGTAGGACAGTGCTCTCTGGGAAGCACTTTGCCCTTCTTAGAATCACAGAATCATCAGGGTTGGGAGAGACCTTTAAGTTCAAGTCCAATCCTGAACCTGTCACTGCTGTAACCCCTAAACCATATCCTCCAGGGCCAGATCCAGACACTTCTTAAACACCTCCAGGGATGGTGACTGCTGGGACCCTCTCTGGTTAGCAGCTCTTGCTCCAAGTGTATGGCACTGCCCAGCTGTGCTGGTGCTGCCCAGGGACTGACCTGTCTGTCAGGGGGGTGATCACAAGCCGAGGGGTGTTGCCAAGGTATTCATAGGAATACAAGAACTGAGCATCACAGATGTTGGCAAAGCAGTGCTGCTCCTCATCCGACCATCTGTGCCGGAGCTGTGACAGCCAGATGAAGGACTGGGAGTTGTCCACCTGCAGTGGCAGAAAGGGAAATGGGAATGCTGGTGGCACAGCTCAGCGTGAGCCAACAGTGTGCACAGGTGGTCAAGGAGGCCAAGGGCACCTTGGCCTGGCTCAGCAGAGTGTGGCAGCAGCACTAGGGCAGTGTCATCCCCCTGCACTGGGCACTGGGGAGGTCCCAGCTCAGTGCTGTGCTCAGCTTTGGGCACTCACTGCCCAAAGGCCATTGAGGCACTGAGCGAGTCCAGCCAAGGGCAGCGAGGGCAGCAAAGGGCAGAGCACATGGGCAAGGGCTGAGGGAGTTGGGTTGGTTAGCCTGGAGAAGAGGCTCAGGGGTCACCTCATGGCTCTCTGCAACTCCCTGCCAGGGCTGGAGAGAGGTGGGGGAGAGGTGTGATAGACAAGGGAGTCCCTGTGGCCCCACACCAGGCCAAGGTGGCCCCACACCAAGCCTGCATCTAGCAGCCTCCCAGCACAGTGCCATCAGCCACGTGCCTTGGCCACAAGACACAGGGCTGTGCTGGCACTCCTGGTGTATATGTGGCAAGTGGCCCTTGGTGCTGTGTGGCCATGGCACAGCCAACACTGCAAGGTGGTAGTGGCTCTGTGCCTCCTCACCACAAACATCTCAGGTAAACATGGCCATGTGTCAGGTTTTGTTATTATCATCAGGTTATTCTGGCCACACTGACCACAACTCTGGAGCTTGTACAAGGGGTAACAGACCCCACACATGGGCACCTCCCTGGGGTCCATCATGACCACTGAGCCAGGCAGTGACAGGAGTGCCTGGTCTATCACTCTGTAAATCCCCTCCCACACCCAGCACAGGACTGTGTTGAGCTCTGACCACCAACCTTCTGTGCTATCATCTTAGCCACCACATCCCGAGCGTGCACGTCAATGGTGCATATGGTCATGATTTTCTGCCTGTCTCCCTTGGAGAGCTGTCCTACCAGCATGGTCACCAGGGTGTTCAACTGGGCCACCTGCTTCTTGTGGTACTCCTTCATGGCTTTCTCGTAGCCTTCCTTCATCCTGGAGAAGGCAATTCCCACCTCAGTTGTCCACCAGATCTGGGTGCACGTAAGAGCCACCTGGGGAAAGAGGCTGGATCAGTGCAAGGTCCTACTCCTGGTCAGGGCAATCCCAGCCACACCTCTGTGAGGGTGTTCAAGCACTGGAATAGGGAATTGCCCAGGGAGGTGGTGGAGTCACCATCCCTGGAGGTGTTGAAGAAGTGTCTGGATGTGGGCCTGGAGGGTCTGGGTTTGGGTTTAGGGGTTCCAGCAGTGACAGGTTAAGGGCTGGACTTGCTGATCCTAGAGGTCTCCTCCAAACTTGATGGCTCTATGACCCAAGGGGAAGGCACACACCACCCTTCCCTGGTGCCCCCAGGAGCAGTGGCAGTACCTGGGCAGGGTAGTCAAAGATCCACTGTTCCCTTGGCTTCTCCTCATATGCCACAACAGCTGCTGTCATCTCAGCTCTCACGGTGGCCCTCATGGTGTCTAGGAGCCGACTGAGCCACACCTCGACCTTCAGGAGAGATGAAGTCCCAGGAACACCTTAGTTCCTCGTTGACCATGACTGACATCAGGGAATGGGACAAGCAGCTCAGCTCTCCAGGGGCAGGGGGTTGGCACTGGATGATCTCTAGGGCCCATTCCAACCCCTCAACTTACTAAGAAACTATGGACTGGGGGATTCAGCCAGCTCTGGTCCTGCAGAATCAGCATCTATTTCCAGACACTAAGGATACAGGGCAGGTTTTTCTGGAACTGCAGCTATAGGAGGAATCAAAATGAACTCCGCTGAGGAGCAATTTAGTTCAGCGTGTTCCAGCTCCAGGCCATGACAGAACCACTCGTGGGACCTGAGCACAATCTGCCAGCAGCAAGAGAGAGCTGCTGC